TATATATATATATATATATATATATATATATATATATATATATATATATAAAAAAACATACTTCCAGGTTTTTAATGAGCTTGGAATATAAAAATATTTATTTATGATAAATTCACGTATCATTGACAAGACTTATAAAAAATAGGATCTTACAAATTAAATGTCCACAGTTAAAGCAACTGCATTTGTTCAGTGCAGCACAAAGAGTGATATTTACCATGTAGAGCTGCTTCCACATGGTGCCCCAGTCTCTCAAGGTCATAGTTATCTCTGTAATGACCGAGTCCTCGGTGGGAATGACGGTCTCAAACTGCCTGCAGGGCAAGACACACAAACACACAATCACACACACACATCTGAACGAGTCCAGGATGGAGAGCAGTGACCTCACATGACCCTGAGGAGCAACACTGACTCATGAGGACGTGTCCGTAAATACACTTGCGATGGCTTGTGGGATAGTGAAGACTCCTGTCACTTCAATAGAGCAGACTTGTCATTTTGCAAATGCATTTTATCTGAAGCACAAGGACGGTCCCTAGTAGCAGTTGAGTGTTTTTCTCAAGGGCACTAGTGGCAGGTCAAAGGTGAGATTTAATTAGCTGTCCATTCATGGGTCACCAGTTTCACCAGATTCAAAACGATCTTTCTTTAAAATAAATGCCACTTGGATTGATATACAGTATTATTCATTATATAATGCAATAACATTTTAGGAATTTTAGATTTATGTTTTTAAGTGTGGCTTAACTGACACAGATATGTATATATACAGTTTTGTTTTTCATGGACTCGTACCCTTTGTTCTTGACGTGGGCATTCTTGAGGTGAATATAGGAGCTTGGGAATATTCCCTGGGAGAGACAACAAAAAGTTATTTAATGAGCCAATTACTGCATGTAAAACACACAAGAGTAAACAAACATGCACTATCATCTGTATATAAATGTGCTGAGAGTTAAAGCAGAGGATGAAAATACAGATAAACAGAAAAAAACTGACAGAAATATAGAAATCATTTAAATTCTGCACGTTTACGGAGTCAAACGTAAAGCGATATAAGATTGTTCTCACCTTTACGTTTGGATTCTTTGTGATGAATCCTCTGTACCATCCTGCAAAATGGCATTTATAATAATCTCACACTTTCATATTTCAACAGCAGAATGCAAAGCGTATAAAACACTTCCAACCGTTTCAACTTTAAGTATGTGGTACAATAAGTATGTGGTTTCACTGTTTCTTCAACTATGGACACTTTGACCCTGTGGAACTCTAGAAAATATATACTAGTGATCAGTGTGAAAAGAGTGGTTTATGAGAGTTGTATTTATAATTATAATAATAATTTATGCATTTAGCAGGTACTTTTATATCCAAAGCGACTTACAGTGCATTCAGGCTATAAATTTTTTTACCAGTATGTGTGTTCCCTGGGAATCGAACCCACAACCTTTTGCGCTGCTAACACAATGCTCTACCACTGAGCCACAGGAACATTTGTACTTGTACATGTATTTTTACACAATAAAAAAATAAACATTACATATAAAAATATTAAATAAAAATATGTAAAATATTTAATATAGTGCTGTCAAACGATTAATCACGATTAATCGCATCCAAAATAAAAGTTTTTGTTTAAAATGTGTGTTTTTATTGCCATGCCAGCTTCTGTGGGTATTTTAAGGCAAGAAAAATATATAGTCAATTATATGAGATTTTTAAAATCTATTTTTGTTAATACTCTAAAATTATACTTGGTTCAACTTTGTAAAACAAAAAATATGCGTGTGCGTGCCTGTGCGTGCATGTGTGTGTGTGTGAAAAAATTGAAAATAATTGAAGAAGAAAAAAAAAAAAGGGTTTCTCGGTTAGGGATAAAGGATTTTGAACAAAAAAAAAATGTCAGTGGCTTCATTTGCAGCAGTGTCTTCTTCTAGTTGAAGAAACACCCAAAAATTACCCAAAAAGTGTAAACAATGCAAAAATAGTAAGAATTACATTTTATAAAGTTATAAAGAAAGACATCTACTATGTTATTATCTACAACCGACTGACTGCATCTCAAAAAATAAATTAAACAGAATCAGTCTCCACAGCTGAGTATATGCAGCTCTAAAGAGGCTGATTGTCAGCTACACAACAACAACAACAACAACGACTACCTTCACATTTCTCCAAAATCTGCACCGTGTCACCGATCTCCAGCGGAAGTCCATGCTGAACCATTCCTCGAAAATTTGCCAGCACTGAAGGGGAAAAAAAGCAAACAGTAAGTAAAAAAATTGTGTGACTCCTGAGTAAAGTAACGGCTCTGACAGACCGCAATGTGACAAAACCATCTGTCTTCTCAAAACTTTGCATGGAAGAGATGGAAACCATCTTTAGTTCGGCCCGGTGGGTGAAGTAATATCAACATTATGTTCAATATTGACTCTGAATTCAGGAACAGGGATTTTTAAGTCATTCTCAATTCACTTCTGAATAACACACAACCCAGCGCTCCACACATTTCCTAAAAAAATAAACCACACTAGGCTTAGATCTGTACTTCTAACATTATCTCACTGCTTTCTTAAATAAACCCTGAGTCACATCCCTAAGCATAAGTTACATAACAAGTACAAGTTCTCTCCACACAGGAGCACACAGGCTCAACCCATCAACTACTTTTTGCATTCATATGCGTAGATTCTTTATGCACAAATATGTTAATTTGGAGTACTCATTTGCATATCAAGTGGGTTAGGAAATATTCGCACATGGAAATAAAGAAATAATTATGTGCATAAACAAAACCCCGCCAGACATTTGACACTGCTCAGAGGTTAAGCAGGCTGCCGAAACAGCCGTGTCAGCTTTTAAAGACGGGATGTGTTGCTGTGCTCGCTGCCTGTCAGTGATGTGCATTAATACATGCTGAAACAAACACACAACATCCGGCCTGAATCCAGGAGAGACGCTGCAAGGATAGCACTCTTTCCAATCAGATACCAAGCATGATCAAGGTTAACATCACCATTATCAATATTGATACTTATATTAAAGGATATTTTGTGTGATTTCTATGGATAAAATGGGTAATTATAGCCATTTAACAAATTATTATTTTTATTACTATTAACATTAAATAGGTCAAAAAATAATTACTTACCAACAATTTTAGAAAAGGTAATTACAGTTAAATGTAATTACAGTCATCGCATCATCCTATGCAATGGTGAATTATTATTGCTCTTTATTGTCTATAGGCTATTTTAGTAATTTAAATAACATAGGTTATCTTAATATATTGATTAATGACATTGTATTATAATAGCCTGTTACACCACCTAAATATGTATTTACTTCCTTCTAATTCTCGTTGTCAGTGCAGGCTTGTTTAGCTTAATATTGACCGTTATGAAAAGTGACTAGTGTAGCCTCCATAAAAAAGTTATGTTAAAAAAACATAAAACAACAGGACAAAAATGTAGTTGATGACTAGACATAATCATTTCATGACTCTAGACACTTATTTGTGAAGACAGTAGCATAATACAGTGAAATAATGTTCTTTAGCCATTCAGAAACAGCTGTCATGTGCGTGGGTAAAATTTACCCGCTGGCGCTTTTAGGTATACAGCGACCCCTGGCGGTTCTAGTGTTAAGCCCTGTGTTTTCCTGAATCCGGCGTCCAGTCTTAAGACCTATTCGCACGGGATTAGTATTACCTGGTGACCTCCAGTCATTTGTAATAATTGCGGAGATTGTCTGTGATCTTAATCCCGTGCGAATTGGCCATGTCTGTAATTTGTAAAGTAAAAATTCCCCCGCAAATGACCTACCATATTTCGCCGAACACCGAGGTCCTGTGATAATATTAGTCCCGTGCGGATCGCCATCTCTGTGATTTGGCCAGCATTTGGCGTGTCGTATATAATTTTTCGAGGTTTTTGTTTCCGGTGCACATTTTTTATCCATCTTTCACGAAGAATGGAGCTGCGTTGGAGTGTTTAATAGTATTTTGGGTACTGTCATATCGCTACACCATACAATTTGCAGAAAGAGAAAGCTGCAAAGGTTTTGAGGTTAATGTGTTACACATAAATCAAGCATAAAGCTTGAGATATTATTTTAACCTGGTGAAATGTAAATGACACAGGGCACGACACTATATTATTATAATTTTTTTTTAATCCATCTAACCGGACCATAGAACGGGACTCTCAAGCCTTGACATCGTATCCGGGAGATAAGTCAGTAAATTCCACTAAAATCACAGGCTTCGCTTCAGGCACGGCGCCAGAATTTTTTCTCTACCGGTGCTAAGGGGGGGCTAGACCAATATGTGGGGGTGCTAAGAAAATAAATGATATTGATGACGTCAGAGTTACTTCATAAAGAAATGGGGCTAAACCGGGGCTATTAAAAATTCTGACTGGGCTATAGCCCCCCCTAGCCCCGGTGTAGCGCCGTCACTGCTTCACTTATCCCGTGCGAATGCACCACACGAAATTTAGATGTGGGGGGGTAATTTCAAAATCACACAAGGTCCCCAGATAATACTAATCCTGTGCGAATAGGGCTTTGCCCGATCAGCCCGATGACCTATGTGTGTGTTTCCCTGGTTATGTTTAATAAAGAACTCCTTGAAGATTCTCCTACGTCTCCTCGCTCCTTTGCTCCACGCTCCAACACAATAGGCAGACCGTGACAGTATATTTATTATGTATATATAAAGACACACACAAACAGCATATATTTTGAAAATATGTATATGTATTTACTTGTATATATTTATATTCATATAAATTATATCATATATAAATATATTTAATATATAAACATAACATGTTTTTCTTAAATATATACATGCATCTGTGTGTATTTATATATACTTAATAAATATACATAGTACACACACATATATTATGTAAACAAAAATTAATCGTTTGACAGCACTAATATATATATTAGGGATGCACCGATACCGATACTGGTATCGGTATCGGGCCCGATACTGGTCTACTGTACTCGTACTCGTACTCGTTAAAATGCCCCGATACCAAACGCCGATACCACACAGCATGTGATAAGCGCCGTATTCAAACAAAGAAACACCAACAATATATATATATATATATATATATATTCAATATATTATATTAAGCATGTGACGGTATCACATTTTCGAGTTGGGACAATTGCTTAAGCTTTTATCACTGTATTCAGTATTATCATGATATTGAAGTAAGTTGCTAAAAAGTGTTGTAATAATACAGTATAATAGGTTTAATAATTTTTTTTTTTTCTTAACAAAAAGAACTGAACATTTAAATACAATAAAGCAATACAGAAAAATGTATAAAGTAAACAAATGTTTCAAACAAATTAAAGTGCAAAACAATAGTTTTGACTCATTAGTTAACCTTACTTAATGTACTAACATTAATGATACCTAATAGGTACATTTGTTACAGATGTTTTTATTCTTTGTTAAAAAATACAACTGTTAGTTCATGTTAGCTCTGGTCCATTAAATAATACAGTTACAACTTTTGAAATTAACGAAGATTAATAAATGTTTTAGAAGAATTTTTCATTGGCAGTTTATGTTAACTAATGAATTAACTAATGTTAACTAATGAAGCCTTAATGTAAAGTGTGACCGAACAATAAAGAATCAAAACATTCTCAAACAATATCTAGGGCATGTTGTAGTCCAGATTAAAAAGTAAAAAAGTCTGAAAATAAACAGCATATTAAGTCTAAGTATTTGAGTATTTGGCGCTGTGATGAACACCATTGCTAATACAAAAATCTGAACGGCTGTGTATTTTTATTCAGTGCGTCTCCTTAACTCGTTCCGCCATGTGCTTCTCATTTGTGTTAGGTTTATGCTGTGTTCAAGTAATCCTGGGACGTTTGTACTTATGAGCTACGACGACAGGTACGTTCAAGTCACTTTCGTCGCCACAAGATGGCGATGTGCTGTACCTTTTTGTAATAAATTACATGAAAATACAGCAAGGTTTGTTAACTCTGCTTATAGCAAATGAAGAGCAAAGAATGCGAGTGTTTTTCATTTTTATTATTTTTTTATTCATTTATGAAGCTACTTTAAACGGTATCGTATAAAAACTTGTTATTAATTGTTATATTACAATCCTGTTATATGTTATCCAAACAGCTTAGTTTTTGTAAATAAAAAAGCCTGACAATGTCACTGCTTAATCCCTATAAGTACTGTGGAATATCGTTGAATCCATCGATTCCGCCATGTTTCTCATCGACACGCCCCCAACTCATACAGATCGTTGCTTAAAGAAAACACAGAACTCCCCACTGGTGATTACGACTTTGTGGTGGCATTCATGTGCATTTAGCTCATAAATACGATCTGCTCGACATGACTTGAACGCACCATTATTTACATCAGTGTGCGCATGCGTCTTTGACGCAGCTTACAGCGGTGTTGTGTATTTTGGCCAGTTGATGGGAAAAGTATTCTTAAAAAGCATTAAAAAAATCGGAATAATTTGTAGTAAATAATTATTCATGGTATTTTGAAGCGCCCACAATAACAATATCGTGAATGTTCATTATCGTGATATATCGCATTACCGAATACTGGCACGTCTAATATATATATATAATATTTTAAACATTTTTAAAATAGTTTTAAGCAGTGAAACGGTTTTGTTATTATTATTATTATTATTATAAAATAGTATGCTTTTATTCTTTTGAGGCTTTTTTCTTCATTATGATACAGTATATCATAATCAAGAAAAAATTAAAGAATTAATTCTTGAAAAAAATAAGTCATTTGGCATAATATTATTTTATTATTTCTTTGGTCTAGCGGTTGTATCGCCTTGATATTTTTTACTTTATTACACAAAAGAAAATGAAAAAAAATTTTTTTAATGTTTTTTTCAATTTTTATTCATTTTTGAATAAATGAACCGAATAAGTGTCATGTCATTGACACAGATATAAATATCTTATTTAACAAATGGATTTCTGCATTCTTTTCCATGACAATCATGTGTGATTACTAGGGCTGCCCCCTAATAGTAGACTAATCATAAGTCGACCAAAATTGTATTAGTCGCAGAAAAAAAAAAAAAAAATCCACAGGCGAAGTCACGCAGTCCGTGATGGACAGATCGTTAATGGCTAGTCTATGTGGTAATGCAGGACATCCAAACGCTCACCTATCATTCATCGACCTCAAATATGGCTTATCATCTGAAATATGTAA